AATCTAATTATATTAAAACGAATTGCTAATTCATAAATTAAAAATCGTTTAGAAAAGATGATAAATGTAACCTTTGTTGAAATTAGGGAGCAGTTAAGTTTTTATTTTATTGGTTAATATTATCTAAAAATAAAATTGTTGTTAATAAAGAACAACTATTGATTTTTTGTATTACAACATTACCGTTTAATGTATATTACAATAAATATTAATTTTTAAATTAATTTTCTATTTTATGATTATACACTTTTACTAACATCATACTTTCTTCCCTATTTCTAAAATCTCACTATTACCTTTTTTGAAACGATTTAGTGCCCCTACTTTGATGTCCGCCGCATTGTGCGGGTGTATACCACTAATATATATATATATATATATATATATATATATATATATATATATATATATATATATATATATATATATAGAGAGAGAGAGAGAGAGAGAGAGAGAGGGGGGGGGGGGGAGGGTTCAGTTGAGAATAAAATGTTGAGAACGAGGGAATGAATCTATATCACTTATTTCGAATTAGCCGCTTAATAACTCCAGCGTACAGGGCGATGGATCGATCATAGGTGATGGAGCAGATCATATTCGTATATAAATACGTATATTCATATATGAATAAGTATAGCCGAATTGATTATTCATACATGAATATGATGGCGGTGTGTTGTGGCGGAGGTGACGGTGGTTGGTTGTGGAGTTGGTAGTGGTGGTGGTTGGTGGCGGCGACAATGGTGGTTAGTGACGCATGGAAGGTGGTGTATTCATATATGAATACACTTTAGGTGTTGTTTGTTTTTCTAAAAAACCTCTTCTGGTCTCTTATTGTTGCGTCGCGCAGCACTTGGTCATTCGCAACTGTTTGTTTTTCAAAAGAATTCTGACTTAAAAACTGTTGCGCGTGTGCTGCATGGCGCAACACTAAACCAACTGCTTCAAACCTCTTCATGTCTTACTTTAACTTACTGCAGCAGTCTGCAGACGTTAAAAAACAAACATATTTTTTTTTAAATGTTGTAGCCGTTTATTTCACCTCTGCTCCTACATAGAGTTGCAGAGGTGATCTGCAGACTTTAGACATTTTTGCTTCGGAAAAACAAACAACACCTTAGAGTAATATTCATACATGAATATTAATTATCCTCTGTCGGCCCGGTACACTAGAGGGTTTTGCGGCAATAATAAATGATTGACGGAGAATGAGTCTCAATCTTTTTTATTTTTTCTCAATTATATATATATATATATATATATATATATATATATATATATATATATATATATATATATATATATATATATATATATATATAAAAGAACAACTATAGAAATTGATTTCAAAAGCTTAGTAGCGTTTTATTAAACGCTACATGAAGTAGTTTTTTTGATATAGAGCATTTTGTTTAAACTAAATGTTAAACACTCCTACTATCAAACAAAGATTCTTATTGAAACTATAACGTTTTGTGAAAAGTTAAGAGCTAGAAATTATAAATGTCTTATATTTTTAGTTGTTTTTCTCGAGAAAGAGAAATATTAAATGAACCCATACTTTCCAAATAAAAAAATAGTTATATAAATTTTCTTTTAGTAAACTTTATAAATGGTCCTTATGGTTTCTAAAAATGTTAACTTTAATCCCTAAATTTTTTGTCTGGTTGAATGCACTTACTTTTTCATTTTTACTGTGTTAGCATTCATACATAAAAGTTTTATACCCTTTTTAAATTCATTTGTATTTACCATTTAAATAAAGTTTATTATATATTTGTATTTGTTATTTATAAGATAAAAAAGTAATATGTATATCTTCTCCTGACGGCGCCGTTTGATAATATGTATTTGCACTGAAAATAAGTTTTTCCTAGTAAGATATGTTTCCCAGGTCCAAAAATAATTATATAAATATGTATTTGGATTTGAAAAGATCTCTATCAAACGGGGCCTAACCTTGCACCTTCGTCTTACCTTCGTTTGCAATCGCATATTCGTTCCTCTCTTCTCCGACATTGTTCTGCCACCCTTCCCTCCTATTCATCTCGTCGGGAAGAAAGTATATGCATTCGGCCTCCTGAAACCTACTACAACCTCTTTCTATTCATCACTGAAGCCTGCACCTCTAAATACTATGCATAGGGAAAGTCCTCATTGTCAGTAACAGTCTTGTCCACCATAAAGATTATCGATAAAAAACCATGCTCACCGGAAAGCTTTAGGTTTGCATGATTTTACGGTAAGTTTTGAGGATTTTAGAATATTTTGCTCTCGAAAGACCCATATCTTCTTCGTTCCCATTAACTACCATCATCGCACCTCTCCGACACAGTTCCATTATAGCTCGGAGAACTTTGACTCTTCAGAGTTTGTATTTGTCTATTACTCCGTTTAGGGTTCCACCCCCTTTGAAATACGGCATAATAAACTTTCAGAAATTTTCCTAGGATTTATAACTGAGTTTAAAAGGACATTCCGAGAACTTGATCTTAATAATAATAATTTTTCCAGTAAAATCCGAGATGAATAAGTTGGTTTAAGTTTAAAGAAGGTGAATCTCTCCTACAACAATTTTTCTGGGGTTTTGCCTAAGTTTGGTCGATTAAAATTTTGGGTGGATTCATTCTAGGGGAATGATGCTAACTTATGTGGTTCATCATTAAATAGATGTAAACAAAGCTCTGGAGGTTTAAGTTATGGTGCAGTTGCAATAGTAGCAGATGGTGAGATGATTGCTTTAAGGTTATTTAGGGAAGAGAGTTGTAAAGATGGTGGTTTGTGTTTGTCTGTGATTAAGCAGTTGGGAAGAATCATGTACTAGAATATGATTCCTTTGATATATTTTTATCAAGGAAACAAAAGGGAGGAGGGTGGGGAAGAAGACATGGTGGTGGTGTTATTTATTTATTGATTAAATGATTTTAAAGAAATAAATTTAAAAAAAATAAATAAAAATAAAAGGATTTTTATATGAGTGAGACCATACATGGTAGGGAATCACATGGACTTTTTATGAAATTAAAAAAAAAAATGGCTAAAGTTGGTATTCCTAAAAACTACAGGGACAATAAAGATTAGTCTTGTTTTTTTAAGAATACTTAGGAGGGCTCATCATTATTAAGGGGTGTTTGACTTATCTTTTGAGAGGCTAAAAGTCATTTTAGGAAAGATAAAAGGTAAAAGATGTTTGGTAAAAACACTTTTAAAAACTACTTTTGGATTTTGGATATAAGAAAAATGAACTTTTTGAAAAAGTTAGGAAAATCTGACTTTTTTGCAACTTTTCTTAAAATAACTTTTAGCATCTCAAAAGATAAGTCAAACATCCTCTAATTAACTGATGTCTCCTAAATGCTTATTCATTGGCTCATAGGATCTATATGTACTCATGGGTGGAGATAGTAGGTAATGGGGGCGTGTTCGATGCTTTACATCCCTCAATCTCGTTTACAACTTTAAGGTAGGAAGGTGCATGCAAGAAGTTTTCTTCATTTTTTGTCTGCTACATCATCATTTCCTCAACTTTTTTTCCCTAACCAAAAACCAGGGTGTGTGTGGAAAGTTTCATTCATTTTGTTTTAAATAAAAATAATTGATTTTTATGATTTATAATTTTTTTTAAATGAGTAATAAATATAAAATTAATTAAAAATAAAAAGCACTACATTAATTAAAATAAAAAGTAAATAAAAAACCTAAGATTTAACTAACTAGAAAAAACAAACAAACAAACAACAATCTATGGAAAATATTTTTGCATAATCTGCTCATTTTTCATCAAAACGAGCTCCAAAGCCCTTCCCGAAAGATGGTTGGTGTTTTCATATTTGGCGTAACATTTGGAACTTACACCCAGTAAAATTGTCTAACATTTTGGTATTGAAATTGTAATGGATATTGAAGGGTATCAGCGAGATGTAGACGGTAAACCCATTGAGATGAATCAATAACGAAAATGTTTCGAGTTGGGGTGCTTGAACTCGAAACATTGGTCTTTTTTCCTTCTATCGGAGTTGCAGATTTGGTTCTCAGGATTCATTTTATTGAAGAAAGTAGAGAGAAATTGATAGAAGAGGTGTGAGTTTGAAGGTTAAAGTGTGTATATTTATAGATGTTGTAGAGGGTAAAAAAATTGAAAGCTCAATTTTTAGATATATATCTTTTAAAAATAATTTTTTTTTATTATCGTTTTTCAACGGTTGGATTGGAAAAAATTAAGTTTCTTATTTATTACTGTTTTCAACGGTTCAATTGAAAAAAAAAATGAAAATCTAGCCAATAATAGAAAGAGAGACTGCAGCAACCTCTCCCTCTACCTCCTCCCCGCACCAGCGATCCAGTACTCCCGGTGCGTTGTTCCAGCTTCCCCTGACGCTCCGTCAGGTCTAAAATATAGTATAGATAATAACGAGCCTATGATTAAATTGAAGATCACATTAATTTCTGTGATGTTAAGCCCCTACCAATCCCTTTTACAATTTCAATTATGAACCCTTTCAATTATTATATAAAAAAAGTAATGAGCATTAAGGTTATGGCAGTATGACTATGACTAAATTGAGGCCTATTTATTTTGATTACAGATTTACCCTTTTTTTTTTTTTTTACTTCGACCATTTAATTTAATTACCGATTTACCCTGATTTATTTTAATTCATTTCAATAGTTCTTTTAACTATCGATTAACCACTATAGTCCACGTAGTTTCAATTAACAAATATAGTATGCACTTTTGATTTATACGACTTTTTCTTTATTATTTTTTCAATTTTCTTAATCCCCTATCTTCAAATGATGGCTCTGCCCTTAGCTGTACTTTGAGACCATGTTTAGCTTCACATAGACCATTAAACTCATCATAAACTGTAATGTAATTAATTTATCGTTAGTGGATCTAAAATGTTGAAGGGTATGATTGTGCTCTACGGTTCTATAAATAGTTAAAGAACGAAAACATTGTCTATTACAATTCCAGCATAAAAAATTATTAACAAGCAATGTCCGTTATGATCACCACTTCATCATCCATAATTATGAGCTCTTCCACAGGCATGACACCTGTCAAGTTCGGATGCAATCGTGGTGCCATGCATGAGCATAAGAAGATTAAGTTAAAATATGCTTCTTGTTGGAGTTTGCAATTTAAAGCTCCAACAAAGGTAAATGCTACAAAAGCAGGTGTTGTGGATTGGAGCATGGTCGACCCGGAGAAAGAGGGTCCAAACACGGTTTCAGATCTTCTGCTAGAAAGAATGATTCAAGATGGTTTTATATTCCAAGAAAAATTTTGTATTAGGGTTTATGAAGTAGGGCCAGATCAAATAGCTACTGTAGAAACACTAATGAACCATTTGCTGGTATATATATAATGTTCAATTTGTCATGTTTTTAATTAGAAGCGCAATTTTATTAAAGTTAGTAAGAACCTACGAAGAAAAAGCAAGATACAAATTAGAAAAAGTTGATTCTTATGGAGAGGTGCCTTTTGGTTTGTCCATTTCTAGTTATGTACATGCTATTAATTATTCACAATTTTAAAGTGAACTCACAGGAAACAACAGCTAATCATATGAAGAAAGGTGGGCTCATACATGAGTGGTTTGGGTCGAAGGAGATGTTCAAGCACAACCTAACGTGGGTGGTGGCAAAGATTCAAATGGTTGTGGATCGCTATCCAACATGGTACAACACTCATTTTTGTCTATACATGGTCCTTGGTTCACTGTATATAATTCTATCATTTAATCATCTTCATATTAATTTGAAGCTGATATAGTTTATTTTTAGTATATCATTAATTACAACCCCATCTCTTTACAATTTTGTATATTAATCAATTTATATATATATATATATATATATATATATATATATATATATATATATATATATATATATTTGTGAAAGCCACGTTTCTTTTAACCATTAGGAATTTGTCATGTTAAGATTATTAGTTGGACAATGATGTATATACTCTCGGATGCTCAAATCTTCTGCAGGGGTGATTTTGTTCAGATTGATACTTGGAAAGTTGCGTATGGGAAAAATGGTGTGTATTGTAATTTGACATTCCGTGATTGCAAAACAGGGGAGATATTAGTAAAAGCTTCAAGGTATAAATCTTTAATTGTAACATGATGACTTAAAACTTGATTGTGGTAGAACTTATTTGTATTGATGATGTAATAGTACTTCTACTATCTTGTAGCTTTTGGGTAATGATGAATAGCAAGACAAGAATGTTATCCGAAATTCCAAATGAAATTCGAGCTAAACTGGAGCAAATCTATGTGGATAAACCCCCTTTAGTCGAACAAGTTACTAGAACATGGTCAAGAAGTGAGAAGAACATTAATGAACACATTTGCAAAGGTTTAAAGGTGGGTCGAAATTTATCTAGTTTGATATTTTTTATATAGGTATAGGTATATGTTGTACTTACACAACTTTTTTTATTCATTAATTATTAACACAAATATATACCAGCCAAGATGGAGCGATTTAGATATTAACAACCATGTGAACCATGTGAAATATATTGGGTTGATCCTTGAGGTAAAATTGGCTTATCTTATATTTTAAGGGTGCAATGATACATGCGTTATAATTACAGTTAATTGTTATTGTAGAGTGTTCCAAAGACCATTATAGAGAACTACGAGATTGATAGCATTACACTAGAATACTATCAAGAGTGTACAAAGGACGACAAACTGCAGTCCTTCACTTCTATATTGACGAACGACAATGACGAAATATCTGATTTTGAAGTTGTTGATTGCCAACATTTGCTTCAATTTGAAAGTGGTAGTAATATCATGAAAGGGGGGACTAGATGGCGGCTGAAGCATGCAAAGAGTAAGGACTTAATGAGCATCAGTTAGTTCCCTAACGGAGTGTCCAAACATAATTACAGATCACCGACATTGACTCTTGGTTTCCGATCACAACCTTTGAAACTCGTGCCATGCATGGGTGTGCTTATTATTAACAAACCTTTGCATATCGTCTCTTTACAAACATAAAACTACTCTTGTGATTATAAAATATGAGCACATAAATCTCCAAGGGTTTGTAAATCATTTGTTCCTCATAATTAAATGGTCTTGTTGTGCTGATTTTAATTTTGTAAGGGAAATGAGATGAAATAGAAATAAATGATTGAATAAATCTATTTAGATTTTTATTTTCCATTTGATGAATACGTACTTACAAAATGCTCTACCTTATTTAGAGGTCTAAATCACTGCCAAATCACCATTGTCATGCCACATTATCAACTTAGAAACCACTACATTTTATAAACTTAATTATGCTTGCTGTCAATAAACTTTTCACATGTTTATAAATAAGTCCAATCTATTTCTTTATATGTTACCATTTATTATTATATAGAGTATTTTGAACACCAACAAATATTATAAGGGCTAGCGGAAAACTAGCAGAAATACAAAGTTTAAAAAAAAAGTATAGCAGAAATACAAAGTTCAAAAAAAAAAATTATAGCAGGAGTAGGAAATTAATAGAAAAAAAAAACATCACCAGCTAAAATAAACCAAAAAAAATCAAACTCAAATTGTCAACGGATTAGCTGCTAACTTCTTTCACTACTAGAAAACTAAGTACTTACTTACAGCAGAATTGGTAGGAAATCCGTAGGAAGAAGACGGTACCTAAAGATTACCTATAAAAAAGGATTCTAAGAAAAACCCTCGTTAATTTTTTTCTACAAATTAGCTACAAACCTTCCTACGCATTTCCTACGTAATTTTCTGTTACAAATTTAAATACGGAATACATAATAACTAAGGAATACTTACAATATTTACGGGTAATTTACCTACGAAACACCTACAAAATACATACGGATTATTTTCCTACGGAATACCTACAAACTGATTTTCCTACTGAATACCTACAAACTAATTTTCCTACAGAATACCTGCAAACTACTTTTCCTACAGAATACATACAAACATATTTTCCTACGGAATACCTACCAGCAGCTTTTGCTATAGATTACCTACAGACTTTATTGAATTTTATTTCCTACAGAATACCTACAAAATATTTATTTCCTATAAAATTTCTATGATTTTTTTACCAATTTTTATTACTATATTAAATTTATAATTCCCAAAAAATATTTATTTCTTGTAATTCAATCAAAAATCTATTGCTCGATTAAATTTATAATTTAAAAAATATCTAAATTTTCTGCTAAAAAACCAAATAAGTAATTAAAATAATAGTCAAATACTATTACATTCATTAATACTAAAATAGTCAATAACATACCATTCATACATTCAAATACTCAAAATATCATTACAATACCATGACAAAAGCTAAGAACTAATCAATAACATAACATTCAGTAAGTGTTTTAAAACAAAAACAAAGAACTACTTGGTGGATTATAGGACGGATTGATTTGTTTCATAAAGGCCGCCAATTGTGGTTGCACTAGCAATTCCATTTCATTTCGCATTTTTTGCATTTGAAAATTCATTTCACTTTGCTTTTCATCCATGGCTTGTTGCATGTTTGACACTTGTTGTCGCAACTCATTTACCTAAATATAACAAGACAAACACATGCAGTTAGTAAATGTAATTCAACTTTAAACCATAATAGCAATGTACTTTACTTTTAATTCAATATAAAAACACACTACTCATAATAACAATGTACATTGTTTTTAATATCCATAATAATAACTTTTAATATGCATAATAATAACATACTATATTTTTATCCATTATACCATTATACTTTATATTTCCAATCCATAATATCAATGTACTTAAATTATTATCAATAACAACAATTTACTTTATCTAATATCAATAATAGCAACATACTAGAATTTTCACCCATTATAGCATTATGTTTTACCTAATTTAATAATAGCAACATAGTATCATTTTCAACAACAATAAAAATGCACTTTACCTAATATTAATAATGGCAACATATTTCAATTTTCACCCGTAACAGTAATGTACCTTACCAATATCAACATATTTTTTTCAGCCATATTAGGTACCTCTTTACTTGATTTTTTTCTCTATAATATATTATGAAAATAGGTGTACCTCCTATTGTGACTTTGCAAAGTCAGCAGAAGCTGAAGTTGACTCATAAGAATATGCACCCGCCATCAGAAAGTGAAGATCCGAGTATCCTGCCCCATAAATAGGACCTTTTCGTTTCCTGCCTTTCCTAAGCAACTGTGTTTGGGTCCACAATTCAGGATCATTCACATTATGTTAAGTCGGATCATCACCGTAATTCAACAGGATTGTAATTTGTAAGAATTTCAAAGTTATCATTAATCTCTGTGATATTGTGCCCAACTTTTCTTGCAAAATTTATCGATGCTTCACTGGTATCCTTCATTCTACCCCTATAGCAATCTTTCAACGTATTCTTAAAACCTTCACGAATTCTTCCTTCTTCATTTGGATCCCACCGGTATTGAGTCTGTAAAAATTAAAAAGTAAAAGTTTAAAATGAAAAATAAGAATGAATGAGAAATAGATATTAAAAATAAATAATTAATATATAACCCTGAAACGCTCAAACATTTGGGTGACAACTTCCTTCGGAATTTTTCAATAAGTAATCCAAGGTTCATTTATAGACTGCCAAAATATCTTTAAGATCGCTCGATGAATACTTTGTCTCCCAAACCTATACTATTGAAATAACCATATAAGGATAATTATAACATCAATAATCATAAATATATATAAAATAAATATAAATAAATAAATAAAACTTACTTGTACCCATTTCGTGTGATAAATGGCCAATGAGAGCCATTCGAATCTGCATCATTTGATCCACCATGTGTACCCGAATAATAGGACGTCTCAACCTGTAACACCCAAGTCTTAAAAAGCCCTAATTTAAGGGCCGACTCGGCGAGTCCAAGGAGGGACTCGGCGAGTCCGAGCGGGATCCAGGTCTAGTGTAAGCGACCGACTCGGCGAGTCGGCCAAGGTGACTCGGCGAGTCTGGTCTGTGCGTGGAAAACCCTAAATTCGGGACTTGGGGCCTATATAAATGTCTTAATCTTCTTCCTAGGGTTCCTTACTACCTCTTTAGCCCTAGATATCAAACCCTAGCCATCACATCTCCTAGTTGAGCCTTGGAAGGTGCATTAAAGCTTGGAAAAGGAAGGAGGAACTTGGAGGAACAAGAAGGAGCTATAAATCTGGGATTGTGAGATCATTCTGAGCACTTGGAGGTAATAAATTAGTTCCTGGACCCTTTTGCACCTAGATCTATGTGTGGTTGTTGGGGCTCTTTAGCCATAATGTTATTATTTTGAGTTAGAAGTCGGATCTGGAGTTGCCACTTCAGATCCAAGTGTGTTATGGCCTGGAGAAGCATAAAGTATCATCCATTAAGTCAATTTTGAAGCCCCTTGGCCTTACACTCTAGTTTATGGCATATTTTGCCTAGATCTCCTTCTCTACACGTAAAGTTTGCAACTTTACGTGTGGAATAGGCTTGGGAAGGGTGGATCTATAGTTTGGAGTCCATGCATGACTCAAAAATCCTCTACATGTAAGGAGAACTGAAGGGACTCGGCGAGTCCTTTGAGTGGACTCGGCGAGTAGCATGAAGTTGTGGAGAAACTCGACGAGTGGGATGAACAACTCATCGAGTCGTATGAAGATTGCCTTGGACTCGGCGAGTCAGGTCGCGAAACCCCCAAACCCTTCGAGTTATGACTCGAATCAGTGAGTCGGGTGGAGACTCAGTGAGTTGGACAGGTCTGGACTCAGAAATCGGTAGACTCGGCGAGTCATGGACTGACTCGGTGAGTCGAGTCAGGAATGGAAGGAATCTGAATATTATGAACTCGGCGAGTCAGTAGGGTGACTCGGCGAGTAGGGTTGACCTGGAAGGTTGACTTTGACCAGGACTTTGACTTTGGACCAGGTGGACTTGGTTGTCTTTCGGGGGTCAGTTAGACTCAGTGTTGCATTGATATTGGTAGTTCGGGGAGCAAGGGGAGCAGGAGTTCCGTGAGTTGTTGGGCAGCAGCTAGTGAGATCAACTGCAAGTTCAGCCAGTGCAGGTGAGTTTCCCTTTTGAGTGAATGGGTCTAAGGCCACAATGCCGGCCCATGTAGTTATGAGTAGAAGACCCGGGGGTTAGCCCTAGGCACAGTATGCTAGTATTATTCTCAGGGCGAGGTCCTGTAATAGCGGGCGGGTGCCCAAGGAATTGTTTATATGATAGTTTATACTTGTTGTCTGTGTGATACATGTATGTGCCTGGTAGGGAGGTGAGTGTGGGCGAGGTCCCATATCTCACCAGTAGCAGAGTGTGGATGGGGTTCCATATCTCAATAGTAGCATAATAGGGGCGAGGCCCGAACTAGAACAGGCGTGGGAGTGGGCTAGGCCCGTACCTCACTACCATTAGTAGCATGGACGGGGTTGCATGACTCATCAGTAGCAGGATATGGGCGAGGCCCAGGATAGGCGAGGCCTTAGGACAGAACCAGTTGTATGTGTTAGTTATGAAATGTTTATGTGTTATTAATTGTTGGCGGGCGAGGCCCTGTGACAGGCGGGGCCTAAGTAAAACAGATTTGTATCCGAGCGGGGCTCGAAGCCAGGCGGGGCCTGGAGCGGCGGGGCCGTTGTAGCGGGCGAGGCCCGAGGTAGAGGGGCGAGGCCCAAGATAGGGGGCGTGGCCCAGTATGTGCGATATGTGGTTATGCATGGTATGTGGTAGGGTGGGGAACTCACTAAGCTTCGTGCTTACGGTTTTCAGTTTTGGTTTTAGGTACTTCCGGTAGTGGAGGGAAGAGCTCGGGGTGATCACATGGCACACACCATAGATTAGACAGCCTGGGAAT